AGTTCAGTAAATAAGTCAAGATAAAGAAATTATTATCAAAAATTTTATTAATGATATTTTTGGGTTGTCAATTTTATTTAGCTTCATTATAATGAATATTGAGTTTTGACGCTACCATTACATCTTCGATTTTTTTGCACAATAGTAATAAACGAACAATAATTGTTTAATTGTTATGTATTTGAAGTTACACTGCCACTAAGATGATATGATAATAAAGAACTGAAAGCACATCATAATTATTGTGAGAAATTATTAGTCAAGTAATCACGTCTGTAAACATCTTTCTTTTTTATCTTACCATCCGAAAGCTTTGAGCAGAAGTTGTAGTAAATAGAATACATGAATAAATAATTTGCATTTGACTCTGAAGTATTTATCTTGATGATAATGATAACATTTACTTATAAAATCTTTCATATTTATCATATAGGATATCAGGTGGAGATGATAATGTGAACTTATTTGAAAATTATATGCTTTTAGTCCAATGCAAAAATTATTCAATGACAAAAGTTGGCATCAGTAATATCGATATCTTTGAAGAAATACTGTCAAAATACGGAAAGAGCAATGTGTTGGGAATCTTTATAATCTCAATTCTCAATGGTTATTCATTGTATACTATAGACAAAGCAGATTTATCAAATCATAATTTATTGCTTATGAATATAATAGATATATGTTATAATATTTCCAGTTACTAGTTCAAAAAATTGAATGAATTATTGATGAAAAAAATGATGAAAAAAATGAAAAAAATGAAAGCAATATTTGAAAAACAAAAAAGAACAATAAAAAATCAAAATATTCTTATTAGAAATATAAAAAAAAGTCAAAATAGATTTAGTGATTATCAAATTAGAACAGCAAACTTTCTAAATATATGTTTTCGTGCAATGATTTTTTTATTTATTTGTTCAATTATAATTATATTAATAAAATATTTATAATATAAAATATTGCTTGAAATATCTATTGAATTGATACCAAGAATTAAATTTTGAAAGCTTCCTAATATTATGCATATACTTGTAGAAGATGAATTAATTGGCAGAATAATCATTTATAATTAATTATAAATGATTATAATCAATTGTAATTGCTACAGATTGATAAATATTAAGTAATCAATTATAATTAATAATCATTTATTATTGATTATTAATTATTGATAATAATTAATTATTGATTGTAATTAATTACTCATTGTTTATTGATCTGTAGTGATTATAATTGATTATAATTATTTATAATCGATTACAATCGATTAATTAAAATCAATGATCATTGATTATAGATGTTTACCGATTCTAAACAAAAAATTAATTATATTTAATTTTAATAATTATTGATTATATCTGATTGTAATCGATTATAATCGATTATTAACAATTGATGATAACTGATTATTAAATAATAATCAATTATAATCAGATATAAAAATTTTTTGATAAATGTTACAGTAGTAATTGAATTATTAGATCTTGAAAAATAATTAATTAGATTATCAAATTATTATTAATAGTTGAAAAAAATTCCTGAAGAAGAAATTGATAATTTAAGTGATATTTATAAAGAAAATAATAATTATTCAATAATTAATAATAATATTATTATTATTAATGAAGTTTTAGGAAAAGATATATTTAATTTTAATAATAATAATTTATTATTAGAATTTGATAAAGAGGAATAATTAATTTTTATTTACAATAGTTTATTTATAAATTATTAATTTAGATATGAATTACTTGTAATATTTTTTAATATAATAAAAATTTTGATATAATTAAAAACTTTTAATATAAAATTATTAATATATTTTTTTAATATTATTATATTACTTTAATAATATCAAAATTATTTACTTATATTGAAATTCTTTAATAATACTAAAATTATTTATTATATTAAAATTTATTTATTGTACTATTTTAACATTATTGCATTATTTTAATATTACTTGAATAATGTCAAAATTATTTACTTATACTGAAATTCTTTGACAATACTGAAATTATTTATTATGCCAAAATTTATTTACTGCATCATTTCAATATTATTGTGCTATTTTAATATTATTTCAATAATGTCAAAATTATTTACTTATACCAAAATTCTTTGACAAAGTCAAAATTATTTATTATGTTGCAATTAATTTACTGCACTATTTTGATATTACTGTACCATTTTAACAATAGTAATTACTACTTATAATAAGAATTTTGGTATTTTAGCATTTGTTAAAAGATTTTAGCAAACATTCTTAATTATTCCAAGTAATTACTTCAAATAATTATTTTTTATTTATTAATTACTTATAAATATCACATATATCTTAACTAGTAAAAAATAATAAAAATAGATTTTATAGTTCTTAAAATCTCAAGAATAATAAATAACAATTAAAAACATATAATAAATCAATAATAAATTCATTCATTAATAAAATTATATATATTTATTATTATATTATAATTTTATAATGAAACTACATATTTATTATATAATATTTCTTAATAAATACTTTTAATATAAATTTTAAATCTTATTCTAGCAGATTATATTATGAATACACTATTATTACCATTTTAAACTTATTATAATCATAATATAATATTTGAAGTATTATATATTTGATTACATTATTTATACTTTTTTACCTATTATTATTATTATCATAATTATCCTGATTAAATAATATTATAGATTCTTCTTATTAAAAATAATGTTTCAATTAATTGTAACTTGCAATATTCAATTAGAAAATTATAATTTAATTATAATTAATTATGATAACTAATCAAAAAATTGTAATCAAGTTGTAACTAATTGTGATTTCATTTTTATTTTTTATAACATTCTAGAATGATAACAATTAGAGATAGCGCAGCAAGTATGTGATACTTATTTGTTATCCATTGTAACATATTGTAACTTCAAAATTTTATAAGTTGTAACTAGTTGCAACTAGGTGATACTTTATTTGTCACCATGTTGTAACAGTTGTTGCGCTATCTTTAGTAACAATATTTAAATTGAATAAATTATATTTAAATTGGATAAATAGTATTTTTATAATAATATAATATTATTTTGAATTATAACAATATCTCATTTAGTTACATCAAATACTATATCACTGCTGAATTTTTTAAGAATTATTATTTTCAAATAAGGAGAACAGTTAAAGTGTAATTCATCACATTGTTATAATTTAAATATTCTATAACATAGTTATTTTATTGATAATTAATCACTTTTATTATATATAATATTTTAATAATTTAATTTAATTAATTTAATTATTTATTATTTAATTATTTAATTTATTATATTCTTATTGGATAAATTTAAAATCATGTGACTTTTATGTGTAATATGTAATTTCAATATATAATTTTAACATGTAACTTGTATATGTAATTTTATATGTGATTTATTATTTATTATTAATTATTTATTATTATTATTTTAATTAATTTTATAATTTTATAATTTTTATAGTTTGCATGATTTGCATGATATAAATTTTAATTTTTATATAATTTATTATATTTTATATATTTTATTTTCTTTTTATAATTTTTGTATGTTTATTATATTTATTTCATTTAATCAAAATATTTAGTTTAATATAATAAAAATTTGTACTTAGAATTTATTATAAATAAAAGAATAATTGACACTTTGAAAAAGATATCAATTTGATCAAGATATAGCTAGCAAAAATAACTTGTTCTATAAAGTTATTGTATTAAAATTAATAAAACTTGAAATTTAATTACATTCTTTTATAATTATCTTCTTGTGTATAATTACTTTAATTATATTAATTTATTTAAATTATTTTTAATCACATTACTAAGAATATAAAGCACATTTAGAATTTAATCACACTAAGAAAATTCACAACATCTTTTAGTAATAATAATAATAATAATAGTAATAAGAATAATCATAATGCATATTCGTTAGCTAACAAATTCATGTTATGACTGAGTTTAACTATCCTGGCATAACATTATTCACATTAATTTAGTACTAAACCCTCTAAAAATCCACTTGTAACAACGTGATATATCTTAAAAATATTAAAAGATAATTTCAATATTAGAGTTAGAGTTGGGATTGGAAGAAAATCAAGATTATATTTAAAATTGCCTTTTTAATATTTTTAATTAATGTTCCAAAAAAAATTTTAAGCACTTGTTTTCAGTATTTTTTATTTTTTGTCTTTGTTTCAAATTTGTTTTGTTGAATTGATTAAAAATTTACGCATCCTCATTGGTTTGTTTTTCGGACATATTATTGGATGGACTACGCTTTAACTGATTCCCAAATAAGTTATGTTAATTAGAATTTTCATAAAAAATAATTATGTAATTTTACATGATGAAATCTAACCAATTAAACACAATACACATGCTAAAAATCTCACTTTTATTATTAAAATTGATGTTAAAAAAACCTAACTACAAATAATTTTTATAATAAAATGGACAAAAAATACATAATGTTATAGATTATATCAAAGATTATTTGATAATGTATTTGTTTTAATGATTATATATTTAAGATAAAATTCCTTTACAGATCAAAGTATTTGATGCGACTAAGTGGAGCGCATCATACATTTATTCTTTTTTTAATTGTAATTGCAGTAAAAATATTTGCCTATAAATAACATTTTACTTTTTTTACAATCTGTAAAAATACATGATTGAAACTACGAGTTTCTTTTTTGGAGCGTGACATTAGTTTTGAATAGTCATAATAGTGTGTGACTTTTTTCTTGGATCGATATATATCATTTAACGCGCATTGATCAGGGTTATTGCATCATCATGATCATAATCGTATAAGCTTACCATAAATACGCGTGTCTATTGTGTCCTCACAAAGGTAGAACAATAAGCAAAGATAAAATAATAAACTTTTTCCTTTTGTCTTTTGCTTTTAACCTAGCACTAAAGCAGACTTTCAACAGTAAATCAATGACTGAAGTCATGACAAAAGAGCAACAACTAGTTCACGACAATGAACAGCAGCATATCTTAGTTGATACGATCGCCGCTCATTCACCAAGTAGTAATAATGATAATAATGTTTCGTTGGAGGAAACCCTAAAGACAACTCCACTTAAAAACATGGTGGTTCTTTCAAAAGAATTTCCAAAAGAAGGAGACGATACCAACCACGGAAAAGGCGAGGAACCAAAAACTAATGGATACGATGTTAAGAGAGAAAATGGACGAGATATTAATATCGGCTCCGGTATTGAAATTAATAATGACCTTAAACTTGATACTACTGCTGCTGCTATTAATCCATCAATCGAGACAGTAGTTACAGTATTGAAGGAAGAGATTGTAGTTGATAAAGACAATGGACGTGAACATCATACCTCCACCGAGATTGTCTCTCTCAAAGAGAAGGTCGAGGTTCAAGAAGACGCAATTGTCGAATCTACCAACATGAAAAAATTAGCAGAAATTGATGAAGAAGTTGACGGAAAGCTCACGTCAAATATCACGGTTATCTCAACTCCCGAGACGGAAACCATCGTCGAAAAAGTCGAAAAAACCACAGTTAACAAAAACGTCACAAACACACTTGCTTACGAGAAGAAAGTCGTCGAGGGAACCCCCGGACACGAGACAATTGTTGAATCAAAGTCCACTAATGAGAAAATTATCGATACTGACAAATATCATAGTGTGGTTGAGAAAGTGACGATAAAGGATTCGATTGAAGATGATGTCGAAGTAGAAACGGTCAAAGTTGAAAAAACTAAAATTGATCATAATCCAGTGACAGATGAGACGACTGTCGAAAAAGAGTGTAATGAACAGAGCATGGTTAAAACATTTGATCATGTAGTCACTCTTAATCAAAAGGAAGTGATTAATGAGGTCATCACCAAAAAGGAAGTGATTGATGTTGATCAGGATGAGAATACAGAATCAAAATTATGTGATTTCGAAATGATTGCAGAATCCATGAAGAGTGGATTTTCTAATGAGGAGGAAATGGAAGTACCAGAGGAAATGAAAATACCAGAGGAAATGGAAATAACAGAGGAAGATGAACAAGTCGTCCCTGAAACTCCTTCACATGTTCAGCACAGCTCACACATAATGTCTCCTGAAAGGCTGCCTCAAGCTAGTCCATTAGTACCTCGAAATCTCAATATTGTATTTCCACTTAATGATGAAAATGACGACGACGACGACTACATATTGGATCAGAGTGACGAGGAAAATAACCCGGAAATTTCACAAGAGTTCGAAAAAATTCGAAAAGAGATAAACAAACAAACAGAATCTCTGCGCAAAGAAGTCAATCGTATTCGGCACAGAGTCAACGAGACTAACGTGAATTCACGTGATCAAGGTGAGCAGCAACAGTTTGTTCCATATTTGTAAAGAATCTTATATTGTTTAATATTTATATTAGAAGGGGAATCGTCAACTCCTGTATTCCGAGTCCAGACTTTACTCGATTCTATATCACATTCTCCTTCCTCCATCATGACTGACGTAGTCGAGTCAATGTTCAATCCAGGATTCAATAGCAACGTTATTCTTTTCTTGAACATAATTTTCTTGTTGCTCTTTGCAAGCTTGATGTTCCTGATAATCGTAACAGATTATAATATGCATGTTATCGCGTTTCTGGGTCTCTCGTTTTGCTTATTCATAGCTATTAATTGGTAAGTGTGTGTTATCAATAAAGACATCAAAGCATAAAAAATCAACTTTGTTATTTATTCTTATAATTATTATAAAGGTTCGTTGCTTCGGTTGCTCAAGCTCAGCTTGAAGAAGCAAAGATTGTAGTCGCTCCTGCTGGATCGACCGAAAAACAGGAATAAGAATACAATTGATTGGTTATCCTAATAATATCATAGTATAATATCTGTAGTTGTTGGATCTAAATGAAATTTTATTATCGAACATTTGTTTTTACATAATGTTACAATCTCTTAGCTCAAGAAATCATTAATAAATTGGTCATGTATATCATGCATGTGCATCATGTTTCGGGTAAACTGAATCAACATGAAAGGGAATCTATCCACGTAGATCAAGATGTTGATCATCTTCAATCTGACAAATACATTTTCTAAATCGGGAGAAAACTTATTTAAAGAGCAACTCGCGTTCTTTCTCACTAACGCTAATACTATTAAAGTTGTTAATTGTCAATAAAAGTATCAAGTGTAAAAATGGCTTCTGTACTTGACCAGATTAAACAATTTACCACTATTGTTTCCGATACTGGCGATTTCGAATGTACGTTTAGTTTTGCGTGATATTGAAAGTTAAGTTTAAAATTTTATTCGATATTAATAAATTAATTCTATTTTTTCAGCAATTGCCCAATATAAGCCTCAAGATGCAACTACCAATCCGTCGCTTATCTTGGCTGCCTCGCAAAATCCCCAATACGCGCATTTAATTGATCGAGCGATTGAATATGCTAAAGCGAAAGGAGGGTACGTATAGTCTACAAATGATACGCATTGCTTCTTTATAATCCATAATGAATTCAATTTAATCTGTTTAAAAAATACAGAAATATCAACGATCAAGTTGAATTGGCTTTAGACAAATTGGCAAGTATACAATAAACATTAAGTTCGAATTTTCCATTAACTAATCATTAATTCATCAATAAAAGTTGATCAACTTTGGCACTGAAATTCTCAAAATTATCCCCGGTCGCGTCTCCACAGAAGTCGATGCCAGACTCTCGTTTGACAAGGAGGCCACGCTTGCAAAAGCGCGGCACTTGATTGGTCTCTACAAAGAAGCTGGAATCGACAGCTCACGCGTGTTGATCAAAGTCGCTTCTACATGGGAAGGAATTCAAGCGGCGAAACAATTGGAGACGGAGGGAATTCATTGTAATCTGACTTTATTGTTTTCCTTTCCGCAGGTAATTATAATTAGTATCATTTTTCTTTAAACTAACTACAACACTACTGATAATATCATATTACACTCCCCAAATTAATATTATTATAGGCAGTAGCATGTGCTGAGGCAGGCGTTACCCTCATCTCACCGTTTGTCGGCCGTATTCTCGACTGGTACAAGAAAAGCACAGGCAAAGTTTACGTGGCGCACGAAGACCCGGGTGTTCAGTCCGTCAAGCGTATCTACAACTACTACAAAAACCATGGATACAAGACCATTGTGATGGGTGCCTCGTTCCGAAATACAGGCGAAATAGAGGAATTGGCAGGTGTTGATTTCTTAACGATTAGTCCGGCGTTGTTGAAGGAATTGAATCAGAATAATAAACAGGTTACCCGTAAATTGAGTCCTGAAATTGGTATTTATTTATTTAAAAAATTATTTTTATTTGATAGTTTGATATTGGAAATTTGATTAAACTTATTTATTGTTGTATCGATATAAAAGCTGCAACACAATCCGAGCCTAAAGTTTCGTTTGACGAGAAAACCTTCAGATGGGAATTGAACGAAGATCCGATGGCCACTGAGAAATTGGCCGAGGGCATTCGAAAGTTTGCTGAAGATGCCGTGAAATTAAAAAAGCAACTTAAGGAACGATTGTCGTAAAATTGTGTTAGACTGATTGTTTATTCTGTTGTAGGTATATTTATTGTTAGTTTAAGCATTAGCCATTTAATAGTCGTGTTATCGAACAAAATACAATTCTATTTATCGTTATAGTTTATTCTGTTTAATAAAGACCACGTTCAATATGGGTCGAAATTTATTAGAGTAAAAGATTAGTTAATCGAACGATCTGTCTTTATTAATTATATCAGCCACAAGGGTAAACCGGATTTTTATTGAAATGTACACATGTGTATTTATATCTTTACTAGCCGAAATTATGGCTGTGTATGTTAAGTTAACGTCAATCAATCATGCATAGAAATAAATTCTACAAAGAGGAAAATAATAAATGAATAATAATAATAATTTGTTTGTTTGTTTGTTCAAAATGTTCCAGGAAGATCCAAGCCAGTAGTAAGTGAACTATTATTACCATTATAGCTTATTATTGCAAAAACCAATGAACTTCAAACTAAAAATATTATGTGATAATTGGCAGAAGAATAAATAAATGAATGGGCGTGATTGAATAAACAATTGCATGAATAATTATATTTAAAAATAATGTTTATTTTTCTATATATACTTATATACACAAAGAGCAAAATAATATTATTAATCGTCATGAACAATTTCAAACAACCACTCCCTCCAACCAAGGGTGCTGTCTAATTTGATCCAACGTAGCTCTCTTTTTAGGATTACTCTGTAATATTATTTTGACTAGATCTTTAGCCTCCGCACTAATAGTACTACGACGACCAGTCTCCTTTTCCGATTTCGGAAACTCGTAATCAGCCTGCGCAATCTTACTAATGAACCGTCTCCTCTGCCCAGGTTCTAAATCAAACGGCAGATACCCGACCAACAACACATACAATATGATTCCTAATGACCATATGTCAGTTTGACGTCCATCATATGCACCACTCAATAGTAGTTCCGGTGCGGCATACTCTTCGGAGCCACATCGTGTTGTTAGAATGGGAGAGGACGGGTCTATGGTTCGGGCTAATCCGAAATCGGTCAATTTTATTATTGGGCCGGTTAGCGATGGACCACGTTCGGTGAGGAGTATATTTTCTAGTTTTAAATCACGGTGTACAATGTTGTTGTCGTGAAGATATGCGACCACGTTTACAAGTTGTAAAAATATCCGTTTTGCGTCCGTTTCGGATGTTTGTTCGTAGTAGTCACTAACGTAGTCGAATAGTTCTCCACCTGCTACATATTCCATGACCAGACATAAGTGAGTTGACGTATCGATAGTGTCATGTAAATGTACAACGTTAGGATGATTCATAAACTATCAAGGTAAATTTAAGGATATTAATTTATTAATTTATTAATCAATAAATGATTAAATAATAAATCTAATAAATAATATGTACCTTTAATAGCTCAACTTCACGTAATGCGCTCGCTTTTATTCGATCATTATCTTCTATTCCCTTTGTGGGTATCATTTTCAAGGCGACTTTGTCACAGGTCTTTAAATCAATCGCCAATTTAACCTCCGAGAAAGATCCGTTACCAATTACTTTGATCACTGCATAATGCCCGATAATTGGAGTGGATTTAGGTAACCCCAATCTCATTAGCTGTTGTTGCTGTTGTTGCTGCTGTTGCTGCTGTTGCTGCTGCTCTAAAACAAGAGCGAGTTCCCTCTGATTTTTATTTTTTGTGTATTCTAAATGGGAAGTATCAGGACTTGGCAGTGCTGCCAATTCATCCAGTGAATCTCTATGATGTGACGATTGATTTCTTGATTTATTGTTATTATCATTGTTGTTATTGTTATTATCATTGTTGTTATTGTTCTGTATCAATCTGTCGGTGGTGGGAAATATTGTGTTTAACCTTGGGGGAACAGGTGGCTGAGACTTTATCATCGCAGGAGAAGGAGGAGCTATTGTGATAGCTATTGAAGGTGGAGAAGGTGTGGCTGAATTATTAGATTTGATAACCATTTTGTTCTCTTCGTTCTCTTTCTCTTGTTGCTGGGAAGATGATGATGAATAATCAATTGAGATTTCATTTCGAAGATTACTTTGATAATCAGGAATATGATTATTATGCGAATGATTGTGATGATGATTAAATCGAACTTTCTCTATTGCATCAGGACTTGAAAGTCTTCGTGTATATAATGATGATGACGACGATGACGACGATAATGTTGGTGATGACGATACAACAGCAACGCCATTACTATTGATATTACTGCTAGTACCATTACCAACACCCGAATGATGTTCCGATAACGGAGTAAATCTTTGTGACGAAAATGTTGAACCTTGATGCGTATTACTTCGCATATGTCGTTTAGGTAATCGTATTTGAATTGGGGAGGTATTTGAATTCCTGGCCGTTGATTCAGCCGATATTTGTGCAGTTTCCAGCATTTTGTTGTTTTTAAAGATACAAAAACTTGCAGAAAAAAGTGGTTTTTATGGAATAAAAAAATTGCCTCGCTTTTTTTATACTTTCTATTTGGTAATTCGAAGTTTCCAATTAGCAATGCAAAATTTCTAGTTAGTTATACGGGGCGTTGTTACTTGTGATAAGCAAAATATAAGTGTAAATGGTGATGTATCTCTTGTTTCCTTTCTTCTTTTCTTTCTCTATAAATAATTTTTACCAGAAAAAAAATTTAAAGTTGCAAGAAAACAACAAAAAAGTATCACGACAACGACTCAGTTTGTATTCACAAACAACCTTTATATATATACACACACATATATATAGATAATGTAAATGTATAAAATAAAATAAAATACTGGTCAATATACATTATTTTACTATATACATTATTTAATAACATAATATACAATAATATGTAAGAGATAATCAAGAACGCTAGGCGAAATAAATCTTCGAGCACAACAGGTGTGATATGGGGCGAGGATATTTATGATATAGATAGATATATACATAGATATATACATATATAAATTATATACAACTGATAATAGGTGCAAACAATTCATAGTAGAAGAGTAAATGTTTATTGTGACCTATTGTTTTTATGTTCTCGTTCCCCGTTTCTTTTTCTTGACTCCATTGTGGAGAAAAAATTCAAAAATCAATGATAATAGTAGTCATGCTGATATACAATGCTTATTCCATTATATTTACTTTATATTGATATTTATTTATTTAATTAATTATTGTTGACGTAAATATCTTTTTTTTTACTAATACAATGAATTTTATTCAATCAAATCGGTCACGAGTATAACATCATAGTCCAGTATCAGAGAATAACGATAAACAATGATAAAAAATGAATTCATACCAATTCTGATAGAAGCGTAAAAGTAAACAGGATCGGTATGTGTATGCGTATGTGTATGTAATCGGAGAAATAAAAATCCTTGATCTTTTCATTCAAGAGAATGTAGAATGAAAGATCCCCATTTTACTATTATTATTTATTTACTACTCGTTTGTCAATGTGACAATTTAACTGGGTGATAGTATCCACCAATCAATCCTCGTGGACGCAATTTTTCTCTTTTCTTATCTGTTGTTGTTTTCTTATCTGTTGTTGTTTTCTTATCTGTTGTTTTTTTTTCGATAAGAATGCGTGTTGATCGACATACTCGTGAATCGCAGAAGGAAATGTTTGGTTTATTGATTTATTGTTTTTTGATCGAATCATTATTAGGAAAAATCGGGTAATCATTCATCATTATAACCGACCAAAGGAATTAAACGTTGGAAGCCACATCGATATACCCGGGTTCAGGACCCTCGAATTACATCACTTTTATCACCTCTTGCATATTCATGATTCTCTGTGCGTTTTCTGTTTTTATTTTTTTGGTACTTTGTCTCACCAAACTTACGCCACGCGCGAGTTCCTTATTTGTCATGGCAAAGAATAGTAATGCTGCTACCGATTGTGGAACGTTTGTTATTTTGACTTGCCCGTGAATTCGTGAAATTTCACGAAGACAGCGGAATTTAAACTTGATCAAGTCTAAGAACGTTTATTGATTGCACCAAGAAATTCGACTTTGCTTTTGAAACTATAGATCATATGTTGAAGAATACAAATATTTGGAATCTCATGATAATTGCCTTCGGTGAAACCGGTTTCCTACTGTTTGGAAGAAAGCAACAACGCCCCAAAGAATGAAGATCGAAGGAATAAATTCTTCAGCTACCAATCATGTAGTATGATTGTAATAGGATGATTATACTGGAAAGACGCCTACGACCAACATTTACCCCTAGTAAATCCTTCAATAAATAATGGTATACGCCAGAATGAATCCCAACCGAAAAATGAACAACAGATTGTGCATGAATTATTTTACTACGCAAATTCCGTTTCATTTCACGCATCCAAATGTTCTATCCGTCCAGATTAGGTAGGATCGCAAAAATCGAGCAGTATCGGTATATGTTGTTACCGATATGCAGTGATTGTAGATTTTTTTAACAATCGTTATCGTTATTTAGCACTTTCTAAATATTGGATCAAATGCAATACGCTTGACTTTATTTAAATCTCCAGAAGTATATATAAATCATAGGGATGAATTTTAAGCTTCAACATTTTTATTTATTTAAAGAGCTTAAAAATTTAATATAATCAATTTTATTTGGCAGATGCGTCATCAAAAATCAATTACAGGTTTAGATTTTCCTTGTTTTCGATTATCAGCTTAATACACTAGTTCTTTAATCTTGAGACCAAGTTTCTTTAATCGGCTATTTCAAAGGCCAATCGTATCACTTTTTTTTATTATATCCATAACAAATTTATAACGTTCTTGCTTGCGTATAATAGTCACCGCTCTTGGCAAAGTGACGATAGAGGGAGATGATTTTTTTAAATTAAGGTTACCTGGTGATCCAAATCGATTATGCATCGTAGAAAGTGAGATAAGTTAGTAATTCCTCTATTCGGAAACCCCACCTAACGATAATGTTCAGTTTTCTTTGTCTTGTGATCCATCATTATCATTATCAATGTCACTATCTTTAGCTTTGATAAACTCTAATATCTATATTCAAACTAAATTTAGCAGGAGTTTACTATATTTACCACCAAGATTATTTGTGTCTACTTGATACTGAGTTTCTATAGAATCTATCACTACTAAAATAGATTGATTTTGAATGTTTCATGTATCAACCAATGTTGGAAATCTCATTCAAATTGTCCTCGTCGAGAACACTAAATATACATATGCTGTTCACATATCAATATATATCTAATTTTTCTGTTCTCATTGATATACAGTTTGTGTTCTCAATAGGGAACACATTTGTTTTTCAAGTGCTCTCATGAGAACGCCGAGAACACAGATTTCCAACACTAGCACAATCGACATCATGATAAAATTCAATAATAATTATCGGAAACGATTTTAAATTTATGCTTTAATTACTAAGCTCGTTCTAAAAAGATGTGAAATTCAACAGACCCACAGGGACCCGAGAAAATTCCATTATTACACAGTGACTCTTGTTAAACCGGAACCGTGTTAAGCCTATTGTGAAATTGAAATCAATTATTTGAAAAATCATAATAAGCCTTAACGAGATAAACCAATAAATTTTTGCCTGTAAAGAGTAAATTCGAATTTTACTGCGTGATGGGATTTTGTCTGTGAAAAGTTTTTTCACTTTCGAAATGCCACCTTCTTCTAGCCATTACAGTTTTTTTGCGTGCACGAACATTTTTTGTTAACCTTATGTGTCGTTTATTTTTTGTTAACCTTGTGTGTCGTTTTTGTGATTGTAGTATGAATTTTTTAATAAACAAAAAGAAAAACAGTAAATAAAAATTTGACATGAACGAAGCTTTTCCACATACGTAAAGTACTGGGTCACCTAAATTCCTTACCATAAAGTCGAAACTTCATTAATAATATTTTGGCTTTTCGTATAGTTTTGACAGTGACATATCAGAGAATAATTAATAATTGTAATTTGATAAGAATTTCCAATGGTGCACATAGAACGGACTAAATAGTCTAAAGTCGCATTCTTCTATGAATTCTATAGTGCCAGTTCCAAGCATATGCATAAGAGAAGTATACTATATTACGTATATGTTTCTCTTAATGCATACATAAAATTCATTAAAAGAATGCGAAATCCAAATATAATAATTCTATGGTATAGGAAAATTCAAGCAAGAATTCAATAAAATATAGTAAATCTAAATATATTTGCCTTGGTTAGATTGATCGATTAATACATAACGATAATGCCGATGTTTAAAAGTTATTATTATATTTGGATTTGAATTCTAGCTTTACAGTCAACTCTCCCTAAATGCAATTCAGAGAGTAAGTACATTTATCGTTACAGAGTATATATCTATTTATCCAATATCTTTTTGCAGAACTTTAACAATGACGTTGACAAATTATTACTCGACACAGGTAATTATTACTCGACACAGGTAAACTTAGAAAATAGTTTCATATTCAATTTTAAATTCAAGCATACGTCTGCAAACAAATTGAAACGACCAATTTTAAGCAGCTAAGATCAAAATATATAATTAAATTGATGTTTGGACGAAGCTCCCTATTATTTTATAGTAAAACTTGTAGCATTGTAATTGTTTAATGCAGGCAGCGTTTACCTGCAACCATTATATCATTGCCAGCCAGCTTTTACTCTTGAATGAAACTATACACGTGACTTAATATGATATCCTTTATAATGAGTTGAAAAGACTGCAAAACTGTTTGTTTGTACAACATTACAGAGATTTCTTGGCACTCCTTTTCAATGTTATGTGTAAGAGATGTGCGACACAGACAAAAGTCTTGGCACTCCTTATGTCATTTATTTTAATATAATATTTATCGTGTGTCTTGGCAGCGATCAAATTTTAACAAAACTGAGAATGGGTAGTTAGTAGTATGCATTGATTGGTTGACCAAGATTTTGGAATGTTGAAAGTGGTTGATTCTTATTGTTTTAATAAAGTATGTATAATTGCATTCATCCGATATGTCTAATTCTATATAAAATTGATTGTTGTATTTATTTTCGAAAACGAAACATTAAACAAACCAAAGGAAATTAAACAAAATAAGAAATTTTAGCGGCGCAGATAATGAAAATTCTCTTATAGCTTTTATTTAATTATATATTATACTTTGGTTTTTTATTTTCTGGGCTTTCTTTTTTATCAGAAGACACGACATTACAACGACGACGATTCCGACTTTTCTACGAAAGAGATACAAATATGGCATCAAATAAAACAAGTACAAATGCAAATATACCAATGTCCTTCATTGAGATGAAATCACCTACACTTGGACTCTCAATATTGTTTACAATACTTTTCGGGACAACAGTAATACTACATTTTTATCGAACATTACTAAAAACAAAGCGACGACAATTAGCATGTATTTATTTATTTAGTTTCACATTAACACGTACACTGGGATTCATATTTCGCTGTGCATGGGCAAAAAACGAGAAGTCTAAAGGATTAGCGATAGTCTCAAATATATTTCTGACTGGTGGTTTCTTTCTCGTCTGTCAATCACTTTATATGCTATTCCTGGATTTAATCACCCCGCTATCACGATTTTTGCGCGAAAAAAAGTTATTCTTAATAAAGCATCTATTTCCAATATTCTCGATAATTGGCATAATTGATGCGGTGAAATCATACGAAAGCGAATCGGGAAAAGCTTTCAATATCGGTCGTGATTTTGCGAAAGTTTCGGCGATCGGATTCACAACATTGATCGGATTTCTATTGATAATGACGACTTTCTACGCGATAAAATATCGTGAGAAAATATCGTGTAATGGACAAACACGTTTGATCGCTGTCTTGTATTTCGCGACTTCGTTATTGTTATTGGAGATGGTGTACAAGGTGATGTCGAATTTTTCGACCTCGACTGATAGTGTAAATCGAGAACAATGGGTCTTTTACGGGTTTGAAGCGGTGCCAGAGTTGGTGTTGTTGATTTTTTTGGGAGCTGTTAATGTTGGACACTTATTTTATTCTAGTGAAAAAGATTCTACTATCAATAATAATGAGAACGATAGCACCTATATTGATACGAGTTCTGATACTCAAATAGTGACAGAAATTTCTGAAAACAAGAATTGGAAAAATGTTTCAAAACTTGTTTAAGCATACTTGTACATGTAACAAATAATAATCATAATAGTAATATTAATAATAATAATATTAATACCAAATAAAAACACACTTGTTCAAAATTAGCTATACCAAACAATATATCTAACAATATTTTTATATTAATGATTTATTGTTTATTTTTTAAATCTCAATAAAGACTTTTTGTTACAAAAGATAATGTTTTTATAAACATTTACTGATACATATATTAATCAATCACATATCCAGAATCTTAATTCTATTCTCAATTCAGATTCTAATTAATTAATTAAAATGTGATTGTTACAAATAACAATTGTTATAAATACATTTATTCTTATTTAAATTGATTATTATTGTTATTTACCAGATAAAATAATATGATTTTTATAAACTCGAATCAATTTTTTATACAAAAAATATTGTTGTAATATATATATATTTAGTTATTAATTTATATTTAATTATATTTTATTAAATCTTAAATAATATGGTACTAGCTAAATATAATTAATAAATATAAATAGTAAAATAATAATAATAACAAGCAAAATCAACAAAAAAAAAACTAGTAATATTATTAAACAAAACTAATATTAACAAGTAAAATTAGTAATTTTAGCAAGCTAAATTAGTAAGTTTAGTAAGCAAATATAACAAGCAAAATAATATTAACATAACTAATTAAAATATATATAAGCAATATATTTTAGCTAAAAAAAAGTAATTATTAATAATATGACAAAAAAATAATAAATATCTTTTGATATCTATTTATAAATAAAAATTAAATATAATAATTTCTGACTTAAAAGTAATTAAGCAAATTATTATTATTTAATAAAAAATAAATTAATATATTGAAATTAAATTTTATTTTAGCAAATTATAATATAAATACTTTGTTATTTATTTTTAAATTAATATCTTATTATATAAAGATACTAATTATAATTAATAAAAAATATTATAAAGTACATATCTATTTCAAGTAAAGTTTAAAATGTATTAAAATAGTAATAATATATATATAAATTAGTTTTAACTTTTATAAATTTTAATTATTATATTCAAAATAATATTTATATTAAATATAATATTTTAATTAATTGTAATATTATAATAATTAATCAAATAATTATAATTATATTTTTAAAAATTAAATTTTAATATAATTATAAAAAATTTTTTATTATATAACTATAAATAAATATAATTATAATAAATTTAATTATAAAAAATTTTTATAATAACTTTATAATTAAAATAATTTTATTTATTAATATATAATCTTATAATTATATTAATTATTATATATTTATATATTTTTATAAGAATAATATAAAAATTTTTTATATTAAATTTTAAAACTTCAAAATATAAAAAATTTTCAATTTATTTAATAATTATATAATAAAACTTATATAATTAAAACACTTACTTCAATTATAAAATATATAAATTAAATATTATATATAAATTATTTATTTTAAAATTATTAAACAAAAATTTTTTTGTTAAATAAGTTATATGAATAAAATTTTGTTTAACTTTAAATTATTCAAAATAAATATATTTAATAAAATAATTTAACAATTTCTAATTTATGGAAACTGATTTTAATTTATTTAATTTTTTATAAAATAATAATAATTCAAAATTTGTTATTTTTTATATATTATTATTAATTTAAAATAAATTATAAAACATAATTAAGCAAAATTATTTATAATAATCAATCAAAAAATTCTGAAATTATCACATGATAAAATTTGTGACTTGTATATGATATATATATAAAATATTATTTTTATTTCTAGTTAAAATATATAAAATTCTATGTTAAGATTTTTTTGTTTAAAGATCAAAAATAATTGGCATAATAAAATTTTGAGTTATTTACTTTTCAGTTTTATTATTTGTTTTGCATTTTCATATTATACATAATCTGTAATTTTATTGGATAATTATCACGTGCTCGAACTTTTTCTATGATCATGTGATTTGATGCGACTAGGTTGTATATATATATTGTTCAAATTATGATTCGCTTTTATTTGCTATAAAAAGAAATTGTTAAATACTGATCGGTTCGGTTTTAGCGTTAACGTGAATTATTTATTGAACTAAAATAATTAAGTCGCACTCATAGTAAAAAAGACAAAATATGCATTTACAGAGTAATAAATAATTAGAGGACTTATAAGCTTGGGACTGAGCCATAGCGTGCATTTAAAGAAAGTGTATATAGCGTTTGCATTTATAGAGTGAGGAGTAACTGATACGAAATTAATTTTTAAATAATGAAAATTTTTAAGCTAAAAACTCAAAATACTAAAGTAATTCTTAAAATATATAGATTAATATATATAAATTAAGATACTAAGTGATTTGGATCCTCAATATAAATTCTCGAAACAGTCACATATTCTGAAACAACAATATCATTGGAGAAATGCAGAGTTCACAATTTAAGTAGGAGGATCAGTGTTACATTCTCAATTGCGGTAAATATGATTACCAGAACAAGAAATCGCTTATCACCAAAGCTTTTTTATGTATGAAGAATTGGATAATGAGTAAATTAGAAGAATGGTAAATGAAAAATTAATACATTTGTACAAATTAATAAACAATAAAAGAGTATTCTTTATTTCTTGGCGAAAATGAAGATCCTGAATTTTGTTGTTTATTTCCAACATATATGAATGTACACAAGCCAAGAAATAACGATAACGTAATACAGATGTCTATATCGATATCGCAAAAAAGAAAATATGCATCCATACATATTATATACTCGGACAACGCGCGTATTAACAACGAACCACGATTATAAACAAGAAAGAATAGACGCGAAGGGTGGTTCGGGTGTAATCAAAATGAATTATTGGTTATCGTTATATGCTGTATACGGGGTATAAGCATAAAACCACAGAGGATTTCGGCGTAGATAGGATACTGCATACAACTACTGTGTATACATTTTTTATTATAAATAAACAAGCTGCTTCCTTTCGCTTCCACATATACATGCAAATTCGCCCATATTTTCTTTTTTTCTTATAGAGTGCAAATTCGCCCATATTTTCTTTTTTTCTTATAGAGGCCACATCCACTCAGTCACATTTTTTATTTCATATATTTAATTTACAAATCAATCAAAATGCGAAACTTTACCGCTGTTTTCCTCGTGTCAATACTTTTACTTGCATTAGTTGCTCAACCAATTCTCGCCGCCGCGGCAAACGAAAAAAACACAACATCTGGTGGTAATGGTAAAGGAGGAAAAAATGAAAATAATTCCACAAGCACCACAACTGGAACATCGAAATCTAATTCCAATTCAACATCAACCCCTGTAACAAACGCCTCGCCTTCTTCAAATTCATCGTCTTCTTCACCTTCACCGTCTTCTTCAGATACTGATTCAACGAATTCAACGAATTCAATATCATCTGCTACTATCGGTGCTACTAACACTCCCTTGACCACTACTACTCCATCTGCAGCAAATGTTGCATTTGTTGCTTTGGGATACGGAAACAGTTTCGCTTTCTCGGTTGGAATCTTGTTCGTGTTCGTTGCTAGTCTGATTCAATCATTGTAATTTTTATCCAATAGACTATTATTACTATTAATATGATAGTATTTACCAGTTTCTTAATATTTAATTTGTATTTGTTAGTTTTTTTAATAATAATATGGTACATGTACTCTCGACAATTGTAACAGTGAAAGACTAATTAAATAAAGGTCTGCACCAGATTTTTTTATTTAATTGCCCGAACCCATCCGCTATATCGAGTTTTACCTACGGAATTATGGGCGAAACTGGGAAACTAGTTTTGATCTACAAAATGTTTCCAAATTAGGGTTTTTGATAGTTTCGGGCGAAACTGAAGGCGAAACGTTTCGGATTTTGACTAATTACGTCATCGAAGAGTCTAGAACACACCAGTCATGCGAATCATTCAAGGATGTATAACGATAAATTAAATTAAACTAATATATATGGTAAAGGAAAGAGTGAGAATCACGATCTAAATAATGCGAATGTAATTGACGCAATCACATTGTCACACCAAATATGTTTCATTTATTTATTTATTCCCCACGTGTACATCGAGTTAATTCCAGAAAATTCCAAATACTATTTCTGTGCAAGTATATAACGATAAGGAGGCAAATCTATTTTATATAATCTCAGGAAATGTCTTCTCCAAACAATAATCAAGAACAGCAAAGAAGTTTTGATAGCGGTTTTTCATTTTCCTTCCCTCTCAGTTTTGTATTCGGAGGAGGACGAAACAACAATAACAACAATAGCAACGGTAACAACAACAATGGTAATGTCAATGTCAATGCTAACGATAACAGTCGGAGTAACGTGAATATCAATATAAGTATTCACCCAATATCTTCTGGCGTGGAAATTCCCAATTTCACGTTTCCGACATCATCATCACCACAACAAAACACCGATAATAATACAAATACCAATAATACTCGCAATAATGGCCCAGGAAATCTTCATTTCGTGCTTTATCAGACGCCAGGACAAAATGGAGAACCGGCAATGTTTTTCTTTACTCCATTTTACGTAGATCCACAAGAACAGAAACCTCGCGCATCTGAAAAAGCAATGAATAATTTGCCAATTATTGAAATAACTCAGAACGATGAACAATGCCCAGTTTGTTTGGATAATTTTATTAAAGGACAAAAGCAAGAGGAACAACAAACTGAAAATGGTGATGAGAAAAAGGAAAATAGTGATAAAGAAAAAGTAGTTCGTGAGATGCCTTGTAAACATTTATTTTGCGAGTCTTGTTTATTTGAATGGTTACGACAAAATAATACTTGTCCATTATGTCGATTTGAAATCGAGTCGCAAGATCAAGACACTTCAACAGCACCAGATATTAATATCAACCCACAAGAACAAACACCTTCACCTCCACAACAAACTCATGAAAATAATGATAATCATGTAAACTCATCAATACCGACAGCCTCATCAAGACAATCACAACCTCGGACGAGGTACGCGCAGCATCGACATCCTTATTATCCAACTTCACGCACCAATTATCGCCATTCAAATCAATTAACGAGCTGCTCACTGGAAAGAGTCGGATGTTGTGAGGAAAATAATCTTAATCAGCAACAACATACACCAATAATAACTCTACCTCAGTGTCACCATCGTTTCCATGCTGCTTGTCTACGGACATCTTTATTAGTGGAAGGATACTCGTTAGAGACCACATCACCTTTGTCATTCAGATGTCCTTCTTGTCGTGCTTCTGCTAATCTAGAGAGTAATCTTCTGAGAGTTAGAACCTCTCCGCAATCTGATAATAATAATAACGATACTAATAATAACCTAAACAATAATAATGGTATTCAAAATAATAACCAAAACGATGATAATGATGGTGATAATAATAATAATAATAATAATAATAATAATAATAATAATAATATTAATAATAATAATAATCAGTTTAATGCAGGTGGCATAAATTATCCATTAACAATACGGTTATCCATTAGTCCGGAGGTTATGGATTTGGATTAATTTTTAATTTAATATTTACTTTATATATTGAATATTGATGTATATAAATATGAAAGACTTGGGACTCTTAGCTTTAGATAATAATTCTTAGAGACATTATCTAACTGCATCTAGCGACATTCTTATACTAAGATTGTAAAGGAACATCTTTTAACTTGCAACGTGTACAAAAAACTTGCACATAAAATCTGCATTTTTTTTGTAAATTAGTTTTTTTAATAAAATTTAATTTTAAAATTATCATCTGATACAACAAACGAAATTTATTCATATAAAATTATAAAATGTAAATAGAAAGAATGTTCCAATGAAATTTTGTAGGATAATTAATATATTAGTTTATACAATAAATAAATCGTCCTCTTTGTTTTTAATATTTTTGTAAAATAATTGAAAATGATACAGTCCAGCTTTCAAGACCCTGAACCGGTCGTCGTCGTCGTCGTAGTAAGCCCAGTATTATCGCACCATTCCAATGTTGGTACACAACTCAAATATTTGCACCACGGACACTTTTTCTCCGGATCCCCAGAATAGAAATTTTTAATTAATAACACAAAACATAATATAGCGATCGGTAATGCGGCTATTCTAAAGAACCATGTTGCACGTCTATGTAGTTTCGAAAAGTTAATAGTCGGCATTAGGATAAGACCGGTTATTATACCCATTACAAATCCACCGATGTGTGAGAAGTTGTCGAGTCCCGGTAATAAAAGGCCGATTAGAAATGAGATACCAATTAATAATAGCATTTTTGTCAGCTCCCAACATGGATTTAAAATCAGCTTCCAATTTTGAATTAGATCAAGCAATAGGACTCCGACTATTCCAAATAATGAGCCTGATGCGCCCATTGAAGCTACAAATAATTTTTTACTTAATATAAAGGATAAATTATAGTGAGCTCGAATGATCATATATTTTATACTTACGAGCTATCGTCCTTGCAAAATTACCACCAAAAATAAAACCAAAGATCCCACTTGCCATATAAATTATACTATAACGAGGAAAACCTATATCTTTTTCAACTTGTGTACCCGTTTGAAGTTGGAATAATAAATTGAACGCTATATGAATCAGTCCACCATGAAGAAATATCGGCAAGATGAATCGATACCATTGATTAGGATCTTTTCCATGAAACCCGTCAAACCCACAATAATCCTCCAGACTACAGGTAGCATTTTGTGTAGTGGCATTAGGACATGAAAACGGCATATTTTCAAGTGATGGGACAGCACGCATGCATGGAACAAAACGCGCACCCATTAAAATCAAAGTCTGAAAAAAATGAAATATAATAAATTAGGCGATAAATAATTAAATTAACATAACTATCAATTTTATTATTACTTACCTCCGACGAAGGACCAATCATCGGATTAAAGGGACTAGTTTCAATCACACTTCCAGTATATTTCTGATTCTTAATAAATTCGAAAATCAATACTACAACTTGTATAATAGAAACTAGCCAAGTGAACCATGGTCGCCATATCCTTCGTTTCTGTAATTGTCTTAACACTCTTGGATCCGAGAGAGCTTTTGGCATTTTAGGATCAATCAGTGGAACTATACCACTGTTCCTACTATCCGGAACAGCACCATGATAAGTCGCATTCTCGGGTCTTAGATAAAATTTTTCATTCTCTTCACGATACAATTGCTGCGCAAATGCTTCATCGTTTTGTTCTAGCATTTGTTTATCATTGTATTCGTTATATGGTGATGTATTGCCGCTATCGCCACTCGGCGGAGATGGAGGACTGTGTGGTCTGCTACTAGCACCCTCGTAATTACGATATGATTGTAGATCGGAAGCGGGAGGAGCACTGGGTAATGGGTGATCGTTGTTATTATTAATGGAAGGAGGAATCCAACATGCTCCTTCTCTGTTAGTTGCTTCTTTGCTATCTATAAATGGGTTATTAGGATCAGGATATCCGCCACCACGTTCAACGTCTTGCACTTTTTTTGCACGCAAATCTAGTGGTATATTAGTATCGTAGTTAGGTCCTAGTTCGCTTCTTAGTTGAAAATAAGATAGTCTCTGTAAAGACGGGTCAGTGGGTGTTGTTTCGGCAACATTACTACTATTAGTAGCATTGTTCGAAGTGTCATAGGCGTTGTTTGTGTGGAAAAAAGAATTCCAACCGGAATTAGGTCGAGCCATTTATTATAGATCAGTAATAACTAAATTTGATTCAAAAAGGTTTTTTTAAATAAAGAAAATGCTCTAACAGAATAAAAAAAAGACTTTTTACGTGCGCACTTTTTCTGTCTTCAATCTAGCATTAAACGAGCTATGTATATAGGGTACTGCTATTGAGAGTTTTGTAAAAGTTGTTTCTGGAGAGAGGTGAAGGAGTGACAAAAGTTTTGTTTGAGGTAACGTGGCTTGGATATATATAAAAGGTGTTTTAATTTAATGTTTGAAGTAATACATATGTGCATACACACATACACCAACGCATTGATAGCTGTTGCAGATGCCAAATTGAGTCCATTCAATTTTCTCAAACTCCGGAAATATATATATATATCGATATATATTAAAGATTAGAACAATGAACTAAAAATTGGTCTATTATAAGTAATCTAATTAATTATACATAGTTAAGGTTAGTTTATTTGTCTATCTTTATTCTTCTTTCATCATATTACTATTATTATCGTTATTGATATTTGAAACATTACATCATCTTATTGTAGGATCAGTTCATTGACTGGTTCATAAATCATCACTTTATTTGCTAAAATCTTTTAATACTACATTTGAAAAAAGTCATTAGTTATTGAAAAAAATATAATATAAAGAAATGTGACTATAAACAAATATGTTTATAATTATTTGATGACAATTAATAATTTAAGTAATGGTTATAAAGAGATATAATCATAATTGACTATAAAATATACTTAGAATTCTGATAATTAAACAATTCAAAAAGTTAAGTTTGTTTCATTTTTAATATCAATTTAAAACTAAATTCAAGTTTAAGAAGACAATTACAGTCATGGCCAAAAGTATCTGACTTTCCTTAACTTTCCGTAAATTATGTGTAATACACCAAATTTTTCCAAGTATAAAGAATATTACAAATGCTAATTGTTAATACTTTTTATAGGTTGGTAAAACTTTTATATTGAATATTGTATATTCATATATTTCATGTCCAAATACAATAAATTGATCACTTTATAACATAATATTTCAACATCTAGTGATTAAATTTGAGTGAAAATATCACTATTTAATTTATCTAATTTAATCAAATCAAATAGTAATATTTCATTCCTAAAGTGATCAATTCATATTTAACATTCAGGTAGGACCGTCCCATATAAGAAAATATAGCGAAGATTGTTACACAATTCATTAAAGATTTTTTTTATACAGTTTACAATACTTTTTCGTGAAACCAAAATTATCTATCTTTGTAATGAAACATGAGCAAGTGCATTAAGCAAACTTGTAGCTTTCGCACCATATTTTAATAATATTAATTGAATCCACTTGAATCCAACAATCTTTATATTATAATTTGTCTAGCAAAAATATGTCTGAAAAGAAGTATTGTATGGAATGCAAAATCACCGAGTCAACTAGATTCCGTTCATTGAATGGAAAAAAATGGAGAGAAGCTGAAAGTAATGATCTAGTAAAGGTAACATAGATGAAAGGTATTGTTTTATGTAATTCGTGTTATATGCGTCTTGTAGAAAATTCATTAAATAGAAGTATTAAATGAGTAAAAGTCACAACTGTGGAAGATATTATATTTAGAGAAGAAATAGATACTGTA